TTTAAAAAAATAAAAAGTAAATAAGGTGCTGGGGTGGTCTAAGTGCCTGGCTGGCAAGTGCAAGGACTGGGGTTTGATTGCTAGTACCATATGTCGTGCCCATCCCAGAACCTCAGGCAATCAGTGCCAGCCAGTGAAACCGGGTGTGGTGGCACACCCCTATAATCCCAGTTCTGGGGAGGCTAAGACAGGAGGATCGCTACGAGTCTGAGCTGTGTAGCCAGACCCTGTAACAAATAAATTAATTAATTAATTAAATAAAAGGAGAAAAAAAAGAAAATTTCCTGGCCTGTAATGTTTCCTTACATTGTTACTCTTCTATGAATATAGTCTATGATTAATTAATGTACAATAGGATTTTAAATTTGTAAGTTTGAGCACCTTTTTATAAAACCTGGGTAGGACAAGCTGAGAAGATAAACTTAGAAAATAATGGCAAAGTCTCCTGCTGCCATGGGTATATTGTAGGCCCTGCCCTAAAGAGCCAAGACTTAGCCAGCCCTAGTCCCAGCTGCTCCAGGCTCTGAGGCAGGAGGATTTGCCTAAGCTCAGCAATTCAAGGTCAGCCTGGGTGACCTTGGCCAACAAAGGGTGGCCTCATCTCAGGAAGACCAGTCACTTCAGGTGACTTGCAACCAGCAGTCAGGACATGTCCTTTCACCCTTCAGGGCCCTCATCTCAGGAAGACCAGTCACTTCAGGTGACTTGCAACCAGCAGTCAGGACATGTCCTTTCACCCTTCAGGGCCCTGTGTCGGGGGCAGAGGAGGGCACCTCCTCCAATCTGAACTCTGCTCCATCTTCTGTAGAAGCCACAGAGGAGCTCCTTTTACTCACTGTCACCCACAAACACACTCAGCTGGGCGCAGTGGCACACACCTATGACCCCAGCACTAGGAAGGCTCAGGCAGGAGGGTCACCGTGAGTTGGAGGTCAGCTTGGCCTACATAGTGAGTTTCAGACCAGCCTGAACTCTGTAGTGAGACTTTACTAAAAAAAAAAAA